TCACTGCTTCTCTCACCCCTCAGTAGATGAAGTGCTTGGCTGACCTCAAATTTGGCTTGTTCAGAAATCAGAGTTCCTTTATAGCTCAGGGGCCCAGCACAGGAAGGACCTGGAGCTGCTGGAGAGAGGCCAGGGGAGGCACCAGGATGATCAGAGGGATGGAGCAGCGCTGCTGGGAGGAAAGGCTGGCACAGCTGGGATTGTTTAGCCTGGAGAGGAGAAGCTTTGGGGTGACCAAATTGTGGCCTTCCAGGACCATAAGGAGCTGACAAGAAATAGAGAAGCAGTTCCAAGGGATGGAGTGCCAGGACACAGGGAATGGCTTCCCAGTGCCAGAGGGCAGGGATAGATGGGATATTGGGAAGGAATTGTTCCCTGGGAGGGTGGGCAGGCCCTGGCACAGGGTGCCCAGAGCAGCTCTGGCTGCCCCTGGATCCCTGGAAGTGCCCAAGGCCAGGTTGGACTTTGGGGCTTGGAGCAGCCTGGGATAGTGGAAGGTGTCCCTGCCCATGGCAGGGGGTTGGATCTAGGTCACCTTTAAGGTCCTTTCCAATCCAAACCATTCTGGGATTCTCTAATTAGTGTGAAGTTAATTATTTTTATTCATTCTTCCCAGATGAAGCCTTAGGCACACCCAGCTCTGGCAAACTGCAGTGCTTGGGGAGAGTATATTCAATTTGTGGAATTTGCTGGTTTTGTTTTTTTTTTTTGCAAATGGGAGAATGATCCCTGGGTTCTGTGTGGGAATTCCAGTCCTCCTACCTCCCTGGAATATTGGGAAGATGGTGTTTCCCTGCCTGGGTGATCCCTTGATCAAAAGAGAAAACACAAGAAACAAAGGGTTTTGTAGTTAAATACAACCCTCAGGGGATTTTTACATTGTAAATAACTTGGAGGAAGACAAAGATTTCTTAATTAACTCCTTCTAGGTATTTAAATTTCCCTTCCAATTTTATTAGGGAATATATAACCACTAGAGATTAATTTCTCATTAATTTGGATTTAGTTGTGTTTTCTGAGATGTGAAACAATACCACCAAAACCCATGTAATGATGTGACCAAGATGCCTAAAATTTAATTTTCCAGCATTCACAGAATCATGGAAAACTCCAATTTTTTTCCTCCCATTCTGTTACCAAAATTCAAATTTTGGTAGAGACAAGGCTTAGAATTTTTAACTCAAAACTTGTGTGAAAATACTGGACATCTCTAAGTCACTAAAACCAGTCTTAAATGGTATTTTAATTTGTGCAGGTAGATAAGATTGCTACTCATGCTGTACTTTATCTCTGCCTGAAACAGAATTAAATTTCTCTTTTATTTGAGAAAAAATAAATCTCGTAGAATTTTGAGAAAAAATAAATCCCACTTCAGCCTGCAGTGAGCATTATTTAAAATACGCCTCTAAAGGCACTTTTCTAGCAGGCAGTTTGGGGGTGTTCATTTTTAAATTCTGTTTCTTTTCAAATCTGCTCAGAAGGTTGTGGTATGAAAAATATTTGAGGGAGGAAGTTAATGAGGCACTGGGAGGTGACAGATGCAGTTCAGAAAGTGGCGAGACCTCCCACTTTTGGTGTAGAAATTGGATGTTACCCAACCACAGGGGCTTTTCATTGGGTTCAACATGATGAACATGAAATTCATACGCACAAGAGATTAAATTCATTCACATATTGATACTTCCGTGATGTTTCATGTTTCTAGGTGGATAGGCCACAATATTAACTGATAATTTTGAAATCTAAGAGGTTTTTTTTAATGAGAAGTGAATTAATTTTGGAACTCACCAAGTAGCTA